TGTTCTGTGAGGTCCTGTCCCTCTGTGTTCTGTGAGGTCCTGTCCCTCTGTTCTGTGAGGTCCTGTCCCTCTGTGTTCTGTGAGGTCCTGTCTCTCTGTGTTCTGTGAGGTCCTGTCCCTCTGTGTTCTGTGGGGTCCTGTCCCTCTGTGTTCTGTGAGGGGTCTTGTCCCTCTGTGTTCTGAGGAGGGGTTTTGTCTGTCTGTGTTCTGTGAGGGGTCTTGTCTCTCTGTGTTCTGTGAGGTCCTGTCCCTCTTTGTTCTGAGGGGTCTTGTCCTCTGTGTTCTGTGAGGTCCTGTCCCTCTGTTCTGTGAGGTCCTGTCCCTCTGTGTTCTGTGGGGTCCTGTCCCTCTGTTCTGTGAGGTCCTGTCCCTCTGTGTTCTGTGGGGTCCTGTCCCTCTGTTCTGTGAGGTCCTGTTCCTCTGTGTTCTGAGGTCTTGTCCCTCTGTGTTCTGAGGAGGGATTTTGTCTCTCTGTGTTCTGAGGTCCTGTCCCTCTGTGTTCTGAGGTCCTGTCCCTCTGTGTTCTGTGGGGTCTTGTCCCTCTGTGTTCTGAGGAGGGGTCTTGTCTCTCTGTGTTCTGAGGGGGTCTTGTTCCTCTTTAGGTCAGACTTCCGATCTGAATGCTCATCTGTGTATTCAAATGCTCACTTATCACTTTTACTTGTCTTCAAGACACGTTAGACTCAATATGTCCAAGTTCAGATTCCTGATTTTTACCACCCCTGTCTTCACCCAATCTGGGTTTTTAGTTTTTCTTCCCCGTTCCTTCTTTTTTTTCTTTGAGGGTTTTTTTTTTTTTTTTGAGACAGGGTCTGATGTAGCCCAGGCTGGTCCCCTGACCCCCTGTCTTCACCTCCCATGTTCTGGCATCACAGGCATGTACCATTATGCTCAGCTTGGTTTTACACATATCAGTAGATGTTTCTGCCATTTAAGCCAGAAACTGATAGATACGTCTTGTTCCTTCCTTGTAAGACGAATTGCTAAACGGTCTTATTAATAAAAAAAACCTAGAGCCAGATATTGGGGTGGAAACTGAAAGATTAGAGGAATAATATGAACCACAGCCAACTTTACCTCACCGACCCCTCAGCCTCCAGAGAGAGCTACTTCCTGTTTACTCACACCTGTATACCCTTCTGTGCCTGCCATCTTACTCCCTCTTTCCACACAGCTCTATCACTTCCTGTCTGTCTGTACAGACCTCCAGACCTCTATGGTTAACTAGCGCTGGGATTAAAGGCGTGTGCCACCACGTCTGGCTCTGTTCCCAGTGTGGCCTTGAACTCAGGGAGATCTGGATGAATGTCTCCTGAATGCTAGGATTAAAGGCGTGTGCTATGGCTGCCTGACCTCCATGTTTACTATAGTGGCTGGCTTTTTCCTCTGATCCCCAGATAAGCTTTTTTGGGGTGCACCAGTAACATATCCAGATTTTGTTCGGGTACCTCCTAAATTACCTCCTGGCTCCCCCCATTCTTGCTTAAACACCTCACCTCTGCCTCCAGCCTACAGTACCACGGTGGCCGCCATCTGGTTTCTCTGAACTCAGCTTCGGTCATCTCTCACTTACTCTTCCCGGCTGTTGTAGTGTTAAGGGTAAACAAAGGCATGCCCCTGTTTCAGCACTCCCTTTGGAGGCTTTCCCCTGCTGCCAGAATGCAGGCCAGGTCGGTGAGCCTCGGCCTCAGCCCGCGTCACCAGCCCGCGGCCCCCTCTGCTGCTGAATTCTGGTCCTGCATTCGGCTTCTCCTACGTTCTGTCTTCAGCCACCCCCCCCCCACGTTACCCCCCTTTCCTTCCTTCTGTTTACATTTAACCCCTACTCATTCAGTAGGTCAGACCTGCATTAATTTTCAAAATAAATTTTTATTTATTTATTTTTTGGTTTTTCGAGACAGGGTTTCTCTGTGTAGCTTTGCTCCTTTCCTGGGACTCACTTGGTAGCCCAGGCTGGCCTCGAACTCATAGAGATCCGCCTGGCTCTGCCTCCCGAGTGCTGGGATTAAAGGCGTGCACCACCACCGCCCGGCTATTTTTTTATTTAAACAATTTCTTTTAGTTTTTTTTGAGATGAGAATCTAATTTTATCATTTCCCCGTTCCCTTTCCTCCTTCCCAACTCTCATGTCCCCGCTACCCCCACTCTCTTTCAAATGTCAGTTTTCATTTCTCTCTTCTCTGCACGGCTGTTTTGACTGTACGTGTGTCTGTACCCCACGTGTGTGACTCGTGTCCACAGAGGCCAGAAGAGGGCGTCGGATCTCTTGGAACCCGAGTGACAGACGGTTGTGAGCCGCCACGTGGGCGCTGGGAATGAAACTTGGGTCCTGTGGACGAACAGCCAGTGCTCTTAACCGCTGGGCCACCTTTCCAGCCTGTTTATTTATTTAGTTTTTTGAGACAGACTCTCCAGCTCAGGCTGGCCTGCAGTCGAGGATGACTGTGAACGTCTGATCCTCCTGCGCCTGTCTCCCCAGTGGTGGGAAGACGTGAGTACCTGCCATGCTGGCTTGTTCCATGCTGGGGATAGAACCATGGCATGCTAGACAAGCCTCACCAACTGAGCCACATCCCCAGCGCCATAGGTTTAAGAGAAACCTGTCCCAGCTCTCCAGATCGGGCCTGGCCTTCTCATGGTATTTGCTCAAGACCGTCACTGTGTAGTCAGTCATTTTGGTAAATATTTCTTAATTTCTGTCTCCATTAGTAGATTCTAGGTCACTTATTAGATTTTTTTTTTAAAGATTTTATTTATCGTGTACACAGTGTTCTGTCCGCATGTATCCCTGCAGGCCAGAAGAGGGCACCAGATCTCATTAGGTGGTTGTGAGCCACCATGTGGTTGCTGGGATTGAACTCAGGACCTCTGGAAGAGCAGCCAGTGCTCTTAACCTCTGAGCCATCTCTCCAGCCCCGACTTATTAGATCTTAATGACTGTCTGTTGAGTAAGTTACTGTTGGATGGATGTACATAAATATCTGGTAGCTACTGAGTGTCGGGCGCGTGGTAAATGCAGCTGCCATGCCTGGGACTCTTATGTCTTCCTTATTCTCACGGGGTCCTGCTCAGCAGACCACTGACCTCTTGGTCTCCCTTCTGACAGTCTTCTGAGGGTGTTTCCGGGAATTTTTCCTCATTCCAGCCGGATGGGAGCGCTGTCAGCCATTCTTCACTCACTGCCGGCTCTGAAACTGGCCAAGAAGTACTTCCTGTGTGTTCTCTGCTCATAATCATCCCCTTTTCATAGTGGAGGGAACGGAGGCATGGAGAGCTAAGAAACTTGCTCAGGGATCTGGAGCCATGGCCCAGAACACTTAGCGCTCTTTCGGAGGACCAGAGTTCACATCTCAGCACCCTTGTCTGGTGGTTCAGGGTCACCGGTAACCTCAGCTCTAGGATGTGAGGTTGTCCTCTGGTCTCCGTGGCTCCCCATACACATGTCTGTATTACTCCCTAACAAAACTGAAAAAAAAAAAAATGTGCAGAAATTTTCCCAGCTTGCTAGGCTGGCAGGGCCTGGAGCTGTGCTTTTTGTTTGTCCGTTTCTTCTCCAAGCCCATTCTTAGAACCGCAGAGCTGCGGCATCTGGTCGAGACGGACTGGTACGGCCAGCCCAGGGGGTGCAGTATGTGAACATGACCTAGAGAGAAGAGGAGGGGTTAGTCACCGGAAGTGGACTTGAGGGCTTGTGAGGGAGAAGCAGGAGTCGAGGCTTCCAGCAGGTGGCCCGGGAGAGGGAAAGGGGGGCCTGCGGAACCGGCTGGTGTGTGGAGCCGGCGAGCCAAGACTTCTCCTGTTTTCCTGTCTCCCAGATTGTTTTGTGCCAGAATAATATCCGAAACGAGGCCCACATGAGCAGGGTCGTCACCCACGAGCTCATTCACGCCTTCGATCATTGTCGGGCCCACGTCCACTGGTTTACCAACGTCAGACATTTGGCCTGCTCCGAGGTGAGTTTCATCGCAGAAGATCTCTATTTTCCCCAGACACCGAACTGTTTATTCAGATGCAGCTGTTTAAACACATTCCTTTTCTTGCTGTTGTAACTTGAACAGTCTCTTTGTAGAATTGCTATAAACGTTATCTTCAAGACCTAATAATAGTATCAGCTGATTTAAATCATAATAAACTGCTTTCCTTGGGGTACACCGAGGGCTAAATGTCATGCTGGTATAGATTTAAAACAATTATTAATTTTTATTGTTCTGGGATTTGAACCCAGGGCCTCTTGCATGCTAGTCAAACCCTGTTAACTGACTACATCCCCAGCCTTGGATTTGCTTTTGCAGTGCTGGGGCAGAGCCCAGAGCGCAGTGCATGCTGGGTTAGCAATCCCCCACTGCGTTCAGTGCCCAGCCCTTCCGGATTCTTACTTAACCTTTACAGCAGTCCATTGAGGAAGATGATTATGATCCTTGTCTGCTAGATATGCAAGGTGAAACCCTTGTTTGGATTCTAGAGTTAGTGGCAGAGTCGGGGTTACCAGGGTTCCTAACTAGCTTGTTGTGTCTCAGAGGCAAAGTCATTGTTTGCCCTGGAGTAAAAAAACATTTAGCCTAGATATGTAGAACTGAATGGTATTGTAAAATAAAATAAAAGGGGAAAAAAAAGATACAAAAAAACCCCCCAAAACATTTAGCCTCAAAAGTGCAGTGGAAAAAGATACTTAGCATTAATGACTTTGGGTTGCTCCATTTGCTCCTATCGAGGCATGGATTTCATACTTGAATTTCAGTATTTGAAGAGTAGTGATGTACTAATGTAATGAGAAATTAAGGAATTAACAATCCTCAAGCATATACTTTATGACGCAGACTGTTTTCTCCTTCCCTTGAAATAAAGAATACGCCCTCCTGCATCCAACTAAAACTCATTATTTGGAGAGTAGATGAGACCCGAGTTTCTGAGTGAGCCTGTCTCTGGTGTTAGGAGTCTAATGCCTGTTAGCTGACGTGCTAAGTGCCTTGAACTCCACAGTCCCATGCAGCCATGTCATTGCAGAGGTAATTGGCAGTGAATTACCAACGTGTGGCTGAAGGCCGTGCCATGTAGGGGGTAGTCCAGAAAATACGTGCTAACTTCAGGAGGATGCTCTCCATTCTTTGTGTTTTACATCCTGTAACATCTCATACACAGTCAGGGGCCCTGAGGAGACGCTTGACAGACCTTGACAGAGTAGGGGAGTGTCTAAGATTTGGGCTTTGGCCAGGGTCACATGCTAGTTTTAGGCACCTCCTTTGGAAAAATGTTCCCTTGAAGTCCCTTTGGTAATTTCTAAAGTGTTTGTATCTTCTAGAGATCATGAGCTTTAACTGTGAGGCCCAACTCTCCGACTCTGTTTCAGAAGAGATTGTTTATGTCCGTGAGGCTGCAGATAATGTTGAGAATTGCCTTTGGTGGGCGACCCCCTGCCACAGTGCCCCTGGATTGTGTAGCGTGTTCTGATCTTGCTAACAGATGCTTCAAGAAATTATTTAGAAGAAAGTTTCAGACGCACTGGAGTCGCAGAAATACGTGCCGATCTTCTGTTCTCTCCCAGTTTTAAACGTTGGCTGGCTGTGGATAGACAGAGAGACCTTACCTCCCCCTTGCCCTCTGTGTTTGTGACAGATTCGAGCTGCCAGCCTGAGTGGAGACTGTTCGCTTGTGAACGAAATCTTCAGGTTGCATTTTGGATTAAAACAACACCATCAGGTAAACACCCCCATGGAATCACTGGCCCTCACCAGTGTCCTGAGTGGAAGTGGTGAGGAAAGAAAGGAAATATGTGGGGCTGGAGAGGTGGCTCAGAGGTTAAGAGGACTGGCTGCTCTTCCATAGGACCCAGGTTCAATTCCCAGCACCCACATGGCAGCTCACAACTGTCTGTAACTCCAGTTCCAGGGCTTCTGACACCCTCCCACAGACATACATGGAAGCGAAGCACCAATGAACATAAAAAGAAAGGAAATACACTTAATATCAAGAACTACTTACACAAAGAGAACAACACAAACTACCTTATTGTTTAAGTTGATGGAAATTAGTTCTGTTTCATAATCATGGGTCAACCATGTGACTGTCTGAGGAGAGAGCTATGATCTTGCTCTGGGGTATTTAAAAAAAGAAAAAGCCTTTTTTGTTTCATGTGTATGACTGTTTTATCTGCATGTACATGCGTGTGTGTGTGCGTGTGCGTGTGCGTGTGCGTGTGTGTGTGTGTGTGTGTGTGTGTGTGCATGGTGCCTGTGGAGGTCGGAAGAAAGCATCGGGACTTCTAGAAAGTGGAGTTACAATGGCTGTGAGCTGCCATGTGAGTACTGGGAACCAACCCGGGTCCTCTGCAAGAATAGCAGGTATCCTTAACTGCTGAGCCGTCTCTATCTCCATCTCCAGGATACTTCTAAATGGGGATAGGAAGAGGATATAAGTGAAGTTGTAGCCTGCCTCCCTTATATCCTAATAGTGCTACGGTCACATGTATATATACATATATAATTGACCCTTGTAGCCTTGACACACAATACTCTAAGACATAATCTGTCCTTTTTTTTTGTTTTATTCCCAAGAGTTCAGATTAATAAATATTACAAAAAAGTCAATCTTCAAAATACTTTAAAAGTTTAGTCTTTGGCCAGGCGGTGGTGGCCGCACACCTTTAGTCCCAGCACTTAGGAGGCAGAGGCAGGTAGATCTCTGAGTTCAAGGCCAGCCTGGTCTACAGAACAAGTTCCAGGACAGCCAGGGCTACACAGAGAAACCCTGTCTTGAAAAAACAAAAACAAAACCAAGAAATCTTTTAAAATCCAAAATTTCTTTTAAAAATTCAATCTCTCAACTATGGGCTCCAATAAAATAAAAAATAAGCTAAATACTTTCTTACCTGAAGAGGGAAGAGCCAGGGCACAGTCACAGTCTGAACAAAGCAAAACCACACTCCAGCAGTATAGAGAGCTCATGTCCAGTGTCTGGGATTCAGTTACAATCTTCTGGGCTCCTCCAAGGGGCCAGGGTCCCTTGTCTGGCTCTGCCCTCTGCAGCACACACAGCTGGTCCTCTAGGCTTGTACGGGGTCCACTCCACTGCTGTTGTTGTTCTTAGCACTCATCCCATGGTGCTGCCGTCTCCAAAACACTGGGGTCCGCGGCTGCAACTGGGCTGCCCTTTCACCAATGGCCTCCTTTCTGTTGTCTTCATGGTGCAAGGCCTCAACTTTCCTCCACGAACCCCTCAATCCTGGGGCTTCCACTGCTACCAGCTGCACCTTCTAGCGGACTCTCCTGGCCTCTCACAGTGCCCAGCCTCTGCTGCTCTCTGTGACCCCTTCATGCTCTCAAAACCACTACCACCGGGATGACGCTTACACTACCAAGTTTGGCTGCCAGTCCAAGGTACAACGTTGGCCGCCACTGAACACAGCTTCCATGTGTTAGCGCTGAACAAACGCTTCCCAGAAGGTAGCACTTCAATGACACTGGTCTCTTCTTAATCACGGCTGACTCCTCAGCCCCTGCTGAGCAAACATCACAGAGTCTTCACAGAAACGGCCGAGTAGAAACTTCACAAGCGGGGCCTCTATCATGTGCGTTCCTTCACCACCCTTCTGAACTCTTAGAGAATGCTCTCAGCACCCAATGGTTCTTCCAGCCCAAAGTTCCAAAGTCCTTCCACAATCCTCCGCCAAACAGGGCCAGGCCTGTCAGAGTGGTACCCCACTATCCTGGTACCAATTTGTCTATCCTGGTATCAATTTGTCTTAGTTTCTGTTTCTATTGCTGTGACGAAACTTTGTAGCTGAAGTTAACCTGTTCCTGCCCGGCTCCCATGGAAAATACCATGACCAAAATCAAGTTGTGGAGGAAAGGGTTTATTGGGCTCACACTGTCACATTACTGTTCATCGTTGAAGGAAGTCAGGACAGGAACTCTAACAAGGCAGGATCCTGGAGGCAGGAGCTGATTCGGAGAGCATGGAGGGGTGATGCTTACTGGCTTGTCCAGCCTGCTTTCTTATAGCACACAGGACCACCAGCCCAGGGATGGAACCACCCACGATGGGCTGGGCCCTCCCACTTCATTCACTAACTAAGAAAATGCTCTACGGGCTTACATACAGCTCAGTGTTATGGAGGCGTTTTCTCAGTTGGGGTTCCCTTCTCTCAGATGACTCTAGCCCGTGTCAAGTTGTTACAAAATTAGCCAGCACGATATATTTACATTTAAAGATTTATTTTTATTTTTATTTATTTATTTTTTAAAAGATTTATTTATTTATTTATTATGAACACCGAAGAGGGCGCCAGATCTCATTACAGATGGTTGTGAGCCACCATGTGGGTGCTGGGAATTGAACTCAGGACCTCTGGAAGAGCAGTCGGTGCTCTTAACCTCTGAGCTATCTCTCCAGCCCGAGATTTATTTTTATATTTGGCTTATGTCCATGTGTCTCTGTGTGTGTGTATGCACACGTGTGGGTGTCTGTGGGGGCCAGAATAGGACATTGGGTCCCCTGGAGCTAGAGTTATAGGTGGCGGTGAGCTGTCCAGTGTGGGTGCTTGAAACGAAACTGGGGTCTTCTGCAAAAGTAGTATGTGCTCTCAATTGCTGAGCCGACCCTTCCGCCCTGGGATTCTATTTTGAAATGAGCACAGTGCTCTGGAGACTTAAAACCCAATTCCCTTCAGCACAGAGGCTGTATTGCAGCCCAGGTCAGCACCGTGAGACCTGTGTGACGCGGTAGAAAAGCTTTGGTTGGCCCAGACTTGGTCACGATGAGCTCAGCTGGGAGATGGTAGGAACCTAAGCAAAAGGACAAAAGACAATTGTGAAGGAAGATGCTTTGCTAGGAACCCTTTCTGACTGGCCATGGTGCGGTGAGCTGAAGCACATGGTACCAGGTTGGCAGTTTCATCCGGGTGCCGAAGGATAGGGTTGGCATCACGGGAATATGTTCTCCAGTGGGGAGCTCTGGGCCGGGAGTGGAGAGTCCCACTGAACCCTTGGGAACATAATGAAGGGGAGCTGAAGGACACACCCGTGGTCCAGAGATGTGCTCTCTCTGGTCTCGTAGGTGTCCAGCCCATGTTGTTGACTCACCTCGTGTCAGTTCTGACTGGCTCACAGTGGAGAGCCCTTTAAGTAGGGCTCATGCTCGGTGCCTGCTGATGGGGGAGTGTGGAGTGTGGGGTCCAGGACTCCCAGTCTTAGATGTCTCCTTTCATCATTGGGTAGCAGCCGCGGAAGATAAGCAGAGCTACCGTGGGATGGGAATCTGGTAGGCTACAGCGTGAGCCCACAGTGCAGCGAGCACAGTGGCTGTACCGTACATACTTTTAACAGATTGACTGCATCTAATGACATCATCTTCCCCTTTCCTCCCTCCACCCCTCCCCTGCACCCCCCCACCTCACGCTCTCAGGTTCATGGCCTATTGTTTTGAATTGTTGTTACATACGTATATACAAACACACATGCATGAATATTCCTAAGTACATCTGCTCAGTCGGTATGTTGTTACCTGCGTGTGTGTGCTCTCAGGGCTGGCCACTGGGTATTGGATAGCCATTTGGGGGCCATTTCTCCCGGTCTTAGCATATTTAGTTCTTTGTCTAGAGTTGAGGAGAATGTCCCCTTCCATCCTAGCATGCCCACCGATGTCATCGTTGTTGAGGTCTCGTTTAGGCAGCCATGCTGCTGAGTCTCTGCAGATGCAGCAGCTTTGACATTTTCAGCGGACACAATCTCGTAGAAACCTTCCTATTCCTCTGGCTCTTACGATCTTTTCACCCCATCTTCTGTACAGGAACTGTGTTGTAGATGTATCGGAACTGGGTATCACATGACCTCTTGTCTTCTGTATTTTGATTGGTTGTGGTTTTCCGTAGAAGTCTGTCGGTGGCAAGGAGGGGTGAGACCTATACTCACCTATGGGTATATGATATATATGTAGAATGTAGTTACCTATACTCATCTATGGGTATATGACATATATATATATAGAATGTAGTTAGTAATTATAAGTGGTCATTGTAGATCCTCCAAGATCCATGACCTCACCAGCCCTGGGTAGTTGAATAGGTTTTCAGTACCAAGCATGATTTCCCTCTTGTTGAACGAGCCTTAAATCCAACCAGAGGGCTGTACCCTTAGGGATAGCATGCCAGGCTGGTCATTGTTTCAGCTCGTAGACAGTAGAGCTGGGTAGGACTATTGATTGCTTCCCTCCCTCGGAGGCTTCCTTTCGTCTTCTGGTACCGTGAGAGTTAGTCCTCAGGTTTCCAGGTCAGTTCCAGCTCAAATCCTCTGGGTCTTCTTGGGTCTGAAGTCCATGGTGTCTTCAGCAAGAGGACTTATTCTCCCTGGAGGGAGGGGGCAATGAAGGGCAGTGGCAATAGGCTGCTTTGGACCAACAGCTCAAAAGGAGCCTTGGTGCTGGACTTTGTGAGATGCTCTTTGGCCCTTGGAGAGGAAGCATTGTCAGTCCAGATGGGAAAATTTTATTTAAATTATATATGTCTGTACAGATTTACACACACTATAGGGAATTTTAGGTAGATAGATAGTATGATTCCTTAGGACTTTTAAAGACAGTTTTACTGATATTTTACCTTCCTATATTCACTTCTCTTCTCCCTCCCTAATTAAGAGCGCCTTCCCTTTCCTCGATCTTCTCATTTTCCCGTAGGAGTAAATCGTAATTGTGCTCTCTCACTGGGCCTCTGACCCTTTGATGGCTGGATTTTGTTTGTTTGATTGTTTTTTGGACAGGGTCTCACTGTACATCTCTGGCTGTCCTTTGATGAGCAAGCGTTTCCAGCTGAGTGTGCTGACCATGCAGAAGTAAGCCTGGGAAAATAGAGGCTGTTGGTGATTATCACTGAATCCCTGTGTAGTTTTCCTTTATTGCTCTTTTGAGACCAGGTCTTGCAGCTGCTGGTTTTATTCTGGACTCAGGCCATCTTCCTGCCTCGGCTTCCCACTGCTGGGGGGTGTGTGTCGCCACACCTGGCCTTTAATTTTAGTTTCAATTTTTTTAAATTTTGAGATAGACTTTCAAAATTATGTGTGATATGTAGCCTAAACTGGCCTGGGATTCTTGGTCCTCATGCCCTCGTCTCCTGAGTATTGATTTTACAAGCATGTGCCACCATACCTGCTTCTAATTATCTTTTGTTAAAGGGTCAGACACCAGTTTTTAAAATTTTAGTGTCAAGAACAGAGAAATAAATATTTTAAAAGCTCTCTGAGAATTGGAACGGCAGGGCTGTTACATTTCTTAAAACATGTAAATTTTAGGATCGACAAATTCAAGATAATAGGTACGTGATTCTCATAGCAAAACCGAGGCCTATGCAAAGACTGTGTTTCAATTTTCTTTCTTTCTAAAAATGAAGGCACCTTTCAAGTTTGGGTATGGTTTCCTGCTTCCTTGGGATAAACAGTAAAAATTAATCTTTCACTAGTCAGCTGAAAAGTTATGAAAGAGGTGTGGAAGTGAAGAATATTTCACTTTTTAAAAAAAGATTGTTTTATTTTTAGTTATGTATGCCTGTTGTCAGTGTTCTGTGTTTTGAGGGTCAGTTAAGAAAGAGTGTTACTCCAGAATGTAGTTCAGGTTTAGCCAAAGCATCAGGGGTTCTGGTGGCTTTGCAAAAGCCTCTCCCCTCCCCCCCCCCCAGACGGTTTCTCTGTGTAGCTTTGGTGCCTGTCCTGGATTTGCTCTGTAGACCAGGCTGGCCTCGAACTCACAGAGATCCGCCTGGCTCTGCCTCCCGAGTGCTGGGACTAAAGGCGTGCGCCACCACCGCCCTGCTGCAAAAGCCTCTTTTATTGTCACACAAATTATACCTCCACCAAGTCAATTTCCGGATACTGGAACCTCTTATCTGGAGTTGTTTGAAGGAACCATTTGCCTCAAGGAGACCTCACGGTTTGCCAGATTCTCTCGTTACTAAGTTTTGCAAAAGCTCTGGAATTCCCTCAGGAAGAACTCATATAAGAATCACGGACATTGCTGGGCAGTGATGGCGCATGCCTTTAATCCCAGCACTCGGGAGGCATAGCCAGGTGGATTATTGTGAGTTCGAGGCCAGCCTGGGCTACGAAGTGAGTTCCAGGAAAGGCGCAGAGCTACACAGAGAAACCCTGTCTCTAAAAAAAACTAAAAACAACAACAACAACAACAAACCAAAAACAAACAAACAAACAAAAAAGAATCACGGACTTTAAACAAAAGGTAGTTCAAAACCTGGGTGCTGTCACTCCGGACTTCAGGTTCAATGCAGTGGCTCTGTGGAATGTCCAGTGTGTCTGTCTACGTGAGTGTAGTGCCTGTGGGAGCCAGAAGAGGGCGTCAGGTCCCCAGAGTTTCAGGTGTTTGTGAACCGCCCACCATGGCTGCTGGGAACTGAACTTAGGTCCTTTGGAACAGCAGGCAACTCTCTTAACCACTGAGTCATATTGTAAGGATTATGTCCTTAATTATGTCATCAGCCTGCGACAGAGTCCCAGCCTAAAAAGCTGGCATGCCCTCTTGTGTACTCTTTCCCTCCGCGTGGTCTCTCTCTCTCCCTCTCCCCCTCCCCCATCCCCTCTCTCTCCCTATAAAGCTCTAAAAAGGTGACCATGGCTCGTGATTCTTCTGCCACGGAAACATCTGTTCGCATGGCTGCCGTCTGCCGCTTAACCAACACATATCTCTGGTCCCTTGAAATGTATTTTAAATTTAATTAAGCAAAACCAGCCAGGACCTTGTTTACAGACTTTTTTTTTGTGATTTTTGCCAACTGGGAATTATTGTTTGGCAGACATTGTTTAGTGCCTCAGAGGATGACATCAAGTCATATTCCCCAAAATAAGAAAATGGAGGTCTTAATTATGTCTAAAGAGTTTTATATTGAACTAACATGTTACATGGTTTGAGAGTTATATTTAATAATTTTATTTTAACTTTTAGAATGGTAGAAATTAATAAGAGAACAGGAGGTGAAATTAATCTATTTTAAAAATTTCATTTTGTGTGCATTTGTGTTTTGCCTGCATGTATGTCTGTGTGAGGGTGTCAGATCCCCTGGGACCGGAGTTAGAGACAGCTGTGAGCAGCCATGTGGGTGCTGGGAATGGAACCCAGGTCCTCTGGAAGAGCAGCCAGTGCTCTAACCGCTGAGCCATCTCTCCAGCCCCGGAGAAATGGATCTTAATTTAGGTAATATATAATGGTGTCATGTGATGACATTTTCACACGAAGTGAAAACCACGTGCTCTGCTCTCCCTTTCCTTAGACCTGTGTGCGGGACAGAGCTGTCCTTTCCATCTTGGCTGTTCGGAACATCAGCAGAGAAGAGGCCCAGAAGGCCGTGGATGAGGTTTTTGAGTCTTGTTTCAATGACCATGAGCCTTTTGGCAGGATCCCACATACTAAGACGTACGCCAGATACGCTCACAGGGACTTTCGGAACCGTGATCGCTATTACTCGAACATATGAAGATGGTGGCCGTCAGTATCTCTGAACATCAGGACCATGAGGGAAATGAGGTTCTTAGACACAGATGTGTACAATGTAAATGATCAGTTAAGCACTCTAGACACAGTGCAGAAGGTGAGATGTTCTTAGACACAGTGTATACAATGTAAATGATCAGTTAAGCACTGGACACAGTGCAGAAGGTGAGATGTTCTTAGATACAGTGTATACAATGTAAATGATCAGT